ACCACCTCTGGCTGGCCCCAGAGTTGGGTGGGAATCGAGATTTTGCAATATCTTTCTCCCAGGAGTGGGGAGGGAATGAGGATTTTGCAGTATCTTCCCCTGGAGTGGGGTGGAAATGGAAATTTTGCAGTATCCTTCTCCTACCACGCCCACCAAGCCACACCCACAGAACCGGTAGTAAAAAAAAATTGATTTCACCACTGGTTCATATTTATGACAGTTGCAGTGTCCTGGAATCATGTGATTCCCTTTTGAGATCTTCTGACAGGCAAAGTCAATGGGGAAGCAGGATTAACTTGACAACCATGTTACTAATTTAACAACTGCAGTGATTCACTTAACAAGTATGCCATGAAAAGTCGTAAAATGGAGCTAAACCCATTAACAAATGTCTCACTTAACAACATAAATTTTGAGCACAAGTCAGGGACTATCTGTATTCAGTTCAGTACGCTTCTTTGCTTTATTCCTGTCTACTAAGAGCCACGATGGCGCAGTGGTTAGGATGCAGTACTGCAGGCTACTCCTGCTGACTGCTGGCTGCCTACAATTTGGTAGATCAAATCTCACCAGGCTCAAGGTTGACTCGGCCTTCCATCCTTCCAAGGTTAGTAAAAAGAGGACCCAGATTGTTGGGGGCAATATGCTGACTCTGTAAACTGTTTAGAGAGGGCTGTAAAGCACTGTGAGGCGGTATATAAGCCTATTATATACTATATATACTATACTACTCCTCCAATTCTCCTTTAGCCAATTCTGATGCCAACTTGTTAACCAACCTTCAATATTAATTTTGTCATCTGATCGTTATAGTTCTGTTTTTTAAGAAAAGATTTCATAACATGGCTAATGGGCCAGTAACACCACCCAGAATTTGGGTGGCTTTGGTCATTTTGAGGTCATCTCTAAGATATCCACTGTGACAAGGAACTTAATTTCTTCCTTTCTTTATTAATGCCACTGGACTTTGAGAAATTTGCAATTGTTCATTCACTTGATATCTAACATTGACAAAGAAGAAAATAGTTAGATCACCTGAAAAAAACAACAACAACCCCAAGAAGCTGCCCCAGCTCTTGGCCTGCCAATATTCAAATCAATAAACTTGCTGAAACTAAAAAAGTTTGGGCCTGGCCAGTGCTCAGATGGGACACTGGGAACTACAGATATACTGGCTTGAATCCTCTAATGGAGGAAAGGTGGGAAAGACATACAGGTAATCCTCGATTTATGAACACAATTGAGCCCAAAATTTATGTTGCTGATACATTTGTTAAATGAGTTTTGTCCTCTTTTACAAACCTTTTTTGTTAAGTGAATCACTGCAGTTGTTAAATTATCTTAAGTTATCTTCGAGACCGCCTATGAGGGCCTTGTCTGTGGGGGCACCTACCCTCTGGAATCAGTTGCCCCCGGAGATAAGGAGGATCCAAGACCTCAGTGCCTTCCGGTGCCCTTAAAAAAACTTTCTTTTTTCAGCAAGCCGGGCTGGCTTAACATATTTTTTTAAATATTTTTTAATTTTTAATTGGTCTGTTATCTTAAATTGGGGCCAAATTAATATATATCCTTTTAACTGTTTTTAAAGTTTATATTGTATGTTTTTATCTGGCTGTACACCGTCCTGAGTCCCTCGGGAGAAGGTGCGGTATATAAATTCGAGATAAAATAAAAATAAAAAAGTTAGCAACACAAATGCAAATATTTCCATCAATGTCTCTCTCTCCCTCTCCCATTTACCCCCCCCACACACACACACACATAAGGAAAGAAGTTTCATATTATTTCTATCATCCTGTTCTAGTTTCCCTGGCCACTATACAAGAATTCTTATGTTATGGCTTACAATTATTGGTGGGCTTAGGAGGAGGAAGAGAGAAAGAGAGAAAAAGAAGTTAAATCTCTTCATGAAATGGGTGCTCTCATGCTAGAGCCAGACTTGAACTTCCAGCTTCTGCAGATGCCTCCTGGGTAGGATTTACCCAGCACTATGCACCTTTTAATGGGCTTCTTTTCAAATGGAGCTTTTGATAATGATGCTAATGAAGAATTAATGTGTAACAGGGAGACTTCCCTCCCTCCCTCTCCATACAAACGAGTTAAAACCAAAGCTTTGAGGGGAGATTACTTGCCTCCCAGACAGGGAAAAATAATTGGTCACCTTGGTTAAGACAATTGCTTTTCTTCTCATGCCTCAAACTTGCCATATTCTAGTCTCCATCAAGTTTTTTTTTAATATAGACCCCCAAAACATTTAGTCATGCACACGATTCCTGCCACAAAGTTTAATATGGTGCAAAATAGTTATTTCGGGGGAATTTAGTCAACGCTCATTCCCTCACATTGCAAAGAGGGAAGGATACTTTGTTTTTCTGAAGGATGGCTGGATGATGCTAGCCAAGTCTCATAGTTTCCCTCTACTGCTCAGAAACTAAGCCATCTTGCCGCCCCTCCCTCTCCATTCAGAGCAGACCACCCACCCAGATAGGAATACACAAACCACATGGGTTAGGAATGTCTGCTCAGCGCCCAAATCAATATCAGCATCACAACCTTATTACTTGAAGAGCCTGGCTTTTAGCACAACTCATTTTTCTTTTTTTTTTTATATTTTAATTTTCAGCCCCCCACCCCCACCCCATAGCGCATACATGATTCCCCCTCCAAAAGAGGGGAGGAGAGAGAGCGAAAACGTCCAGCGAGAAATCCTTTTTAAAAGGAATAATGTCAAAGGAAATGTACCCTTGCTTTCTCACATCTGGATAGGAATCTGCAGTTGACATCTTAACCACGTGGATCTGGAGTTACATTCTTCCCATCCTATAATAGAAAATTGTCATTTGTACCACAGAAAGGGAAAGTGTGGTATATTTAAGAGCCATACTATCGTTGCCAAATTAAGAACACCGACAGAAGCCCAATCAGAATTGTTCCATTCTTGCAATTATTTGAGAAACGAATGCAATACCTTTCTAGTTTGTAAACATACTGTTGCTTATGTCTTACAACTTGCAAATTCAATTCTATACATCTCTACTCAGAACTAAATTTAACGGGGTTCCTATCACAAGATGCTCTCAGATATTGCTCCCATTTTTCCATTCTATTCAAATCCCTATCATTCTTCACCATTCGGCATCTCAGCTAGGGTCCTGGGAATTGGCTTACAATCCGGAAGGCACATGTTGTCTCGATGTCCTACAGATAACACATTACAGGTAGTCCTCGACTTACAACAGTTCATTTAGTGACAGTTCGAAGTTACAATGGCACTGACAAAAAGTGACACAATCATTTTTCATATTTTTGAGCATTGCAGCATCCCTCATGAGCCTGAGATCAAAATTCAGACACTTTATTTTTTATTTTATTTATATTTGAATTTATATACCGCCCTTCTCCCCCTAGGGACTCAGGGCGGTGAACAGTCGAAATTAAAATACATACAATATAAAAGTTAAGATAGCTAAAATAAATTAGATCAATCGGCCCCCAATTTAAAACCCCAAAGCTATACAATTAAAAACTAGCCCATAAAAAACCTAATTAGGCTAGGCCGGCTTGCTAAAATAGAAACGTCTTCAGGGCCTTACGGAAAGTGCGGAGATCCGGGATCAGTCGTATTCCGGGAGGAAGCTCATTCCAGAGGGCGGGTGCCCCCACAGAGAAGGCTTATACAACCTTCTGACAAGCAAAGTTAATGAGGAAACCAGATTCAGTTAACAACCATGTTATTAATTTAACAATTGCGGTGATTGACTTAACAATTGAGCAAGACTAATGATAACAGTTAGAGAATGTTCTTCAGAAGAACTTGAGGCTGATGGAGCTGGAATGAAGGAAACTACATGGCCATTTTATTTTATTCTGGCTGGAATCCAAGTATGTTTTTCTCCATCCAGACTCCATCATGTTTTCCACTACATCTCCGACCAAGCCCAGGGTGAAGATATATAACTGAGTATCAATGCAGAAAACTTCCCCCCTGATCTAATGGATAGCTCTTTTAATGGCATTGTGTGGACATTGAACAGGACAGGGGAAAAACTGAATTCTGTGGCTGAGCACGAAAAATTATTTCAGCTTTTGACCAGTTTAACAAGGAGTGAACTGAACTGGCTAAACAGAATTCTTGAAAAACAAGAAAAAGCACAACATAATCAATTTCAGTGTGAAATTTCAGGCAAAGGATGTTCAAATATGACACATTTCTCTGTAGCATTCATTTTCTTACCATGCTGTTAAATCATTTGAATTAATTATCTACCTCAGACTAATGCTGAAAGAGGCATTCTTTAAAACACTTGGCAAAGGACAAGTTAGTGTTTGGATTTACAATGTATGAATTGTACTTCTGAAGGATGTTTGCAAAGGGCTGTAATGTATACTATGTAAATAAGCAGTAATTACACCTCAAAGGACTCACCCCTTTATGACTTGTATATACGATCCTTATGTCTTGATATTACCAAAGTTCTGCACTACTGCAATTCCACTCCCAATAACTAATTATTATTGTAATAATGTAGTGGTAATATAGGCAGCTTTGATACTACATAGATGTAATATTACATTTTGCCTTGGATATCTCCAGCCTGATGTTTTTCAGATGTGGAATTTTGGGAATTTCCATCCCAATTCATGTGAAGGTTACTAAACTGGCTATTTAAATTTGAAACTCTAAGCCATGAACACAATATCCACCCCTACTCTTATCAACTCTGGTTCCACAGCTTGACTTGACAATCAAGATTGCGTATTCATAAACTTGTGAAAAAATATATTATTTTCATTAGAAAAGGTCAAAAAAGGACAAGGGAAAAATAGTGGTTTTTAATACAGATTTTGAGTTCTGGTTCAGATGAAACACTACAAGAATATAATGTAGTTGTCATAAAGTTAGGCCTTGTGCTACTGTATATCGTTTTACCAATCCTAAATGATCAATCTTCCATGCAGCTGAGACTGAATTCTTCACCAGAAAATAGGACTATTTGAAATTAATTGAAAAAGAATTTATTTTGTTTCAGCATACAAAATAACTAAAGTAAATTGTTTTTTTTAAAAAAAGGACACCACTTATCAGCTCTTATTCTACCAGAATTTTGTGGAAAACACTCTTCACTTTCAATACACAAATGCAGCTGAAATGTGTTTATTCCATCCTCATTCTCATCAAACTAGAGAACTAACATTTTATAAGGATGACTGATGAGCTACATGCAAGTCAGAGTTAAGAGTCTACTGTAATTTCAGTAATATTCCCTTTACATAGATAACCCCTCCACCCCCACAAATTCTGTACATCAGCTACTATTTTTTGTGGCTCAAAGGACTTATTTTGCCTTTTTAAAAACAAAGAAAAAACACATGTCCAGTATATAGTCAAAGTTATGTTGGCCTGTGCTCCTTCCAACAATCTCTCAAGAGTTTTTGCCACAAAATTTAGTTAGAAAAGTCAACATTGACCCCTCCCCCAAAGCACACATTTTGTGCTCAATTGAAATGAATTGTGTTGAATGTGTACTGTTAAAAAAAGTTGAAAGACAGCTTTAGGTTTTAAAACATTTCATATAAAAATGCTAACAAAAATGTAAAAAACCCACTCAAACATCTCCCGCCACGCTCCAAGATCACATCATACGCCTGATGTCAAAAGATTTCAAAAACCTCCCATCCCAACAATTGCACATTTAACAGTTGGACTTAAAAAAGAACATAACACTTCAAGTATGTTTCATGCCAATCATCAATAAGAGTCATAACATTACTGAAGAAAAGTACACTTGTTCTTTTGAAAGCCTAGGATAGACTTCCGTAGTATAGGTCAAATATTTTAATTTAAAAATAATAAAAAAAAACCACATTCACACACATACATACACATACACAAAAGGAAACAATTTCTTTGGACTTAAAGAAACAACGTTAAGAATTCCCATTTGATTATGAAGAAATAACCTTACTACGAACTTAATTTTTCATACTGCAACATACTGTGCGCATAGAACAAGGAAATCCATTAGATGATTCTGCAGGATGATTCTGTAGCAACAGATGACAATCTGGTAACTAAGCAGCAATTGGATATACAACAGCCTTTCAAGCACAGCTTATTTTGAAAAGGCTAACAAATCCTTCAGATCCAAAAGTAGTCCTTAAGCAACATCTTCTATCAGGGTATCACTTGAAATCCCTACTTTAATGGCTTCAGTGAGAGAAGGCCTTTTTTCTGCCCTCTTTCTTTAAATGGAATTTTACTCTGTTTTATGAAATCACTTTTGTTAAAGTATTAAAAAATACTTCTGAAAATTAGGGCAGCAATGTTTAGTAGATAATTTCATTAACAAAAGATGTTTCTATTAGATGGCTTAAAAAAAACCAAACATTATTTTACCATTAAAAAGTTTTAAATGGTATGACGGATACTGTAACATTTTGGAAGAAGTCCAATCATCTCTGAAAAAAATGGAAGGAATACAAGTTCTCAGGTGGCCCCTATACGTACACAAATGTAGATTTTTTTAAAAAAAAAGAAAGGATGGGGTAGGGGAGTGGTTTAGAACTCATTTATTCACATCCAAACATAGTATGTATTAATTATGTAATTGAAATTAATCTGATTAACCAGTTAATTTATTTAATTGAGTTAAGAGCCCTATTACAACTGAATGTGAAGTATGGAACAAGTAATGAAATTTAGAAATAATTTTCAGCGTATTGGCCATAAATACAGTAGTTCCAAATCAAGAACTTTCTATACTGTGAAAACTGAACTGGTATTCCTCTTACGGCAAACATCTCCTTGTAATGTTATATTTGTTTCTAATATAACCTTAAAACAGACGCAGAAATGTTGACGGGAAAACAATTCTGAATTGGGATAGCATATTACATTTGTTTTTTTTTCCCTTAAGAAAAGTTCTACTAATTTACTGACTATAGTCTAGGAAGTAGGTCAGAATCCTGTTTTGTTTTATTACATATAGTCCAAAATGAAAATGTTAATTATAACCTGGGTAATCCTGCTACAATAGACTGAGCATTAAAAAAAAAAAAAAGACGGATAGGAGACTTTTCTGCCTCACCCCACAACCAGTATCTTATTTTGGGGAACCACAGAAATTGAGACCAAACAATGCAGGGGGTTTTCACACCATACTAGCAAAAGGTCAAGACAAAGTGGCATCAAAGCAAGAGTAAGGTCAGAAGGCCCGTGATGGTGGTGTGCTGGATCCAAGGAGCATCTGTGAGACACAGGACATTGTAGTGTCTGGTAGTGTCATTCCCTCAAGGACGTTAGAATATGCATATGCAGTAATAAATAGATCAGTTATGTAATAAGGCAGTGTGTTGAACATGCATTTATCTTGTGGCCTGGAGTACCACAGAGAGAGACACATGATACCATACACATTCATTGTTTTTTTTTTTTTCAAGGCTATCCAGGCTAACTCTTCCAGAGCATTTCCTTGGTGAGGAGAGCAATTCGCTGAGGCTTGTCATTTTTCTTCTCCTTTATCAAGAGATGATGAACTGGCTTTAACAAAAAAATAAAGCTGAAGAGAGCTGTTGGGGTTTTTGCACCATGGCTGCATCGTTCTGAATGTTTTATTATTTTTTTTCAGATTAAAGAAAAAAAACCAGCAGTTTTTAATGCAACCACAACTGATGTCCTCAGGATGCTCCAGATGTTTCCAGGTAACTCTGTAATTTTCTAACTGTGGTTTTGTCCAGTGAGCAAAGGTCAAAGTCAAAGGTAGTGTTTGTGATGTGAAAATGTCCCGTTTCTTCTATAAGATTTACAATCTGTCATTCAACAACAAAAGAAAAGGATAAATTTAAACACTTCTGATCATCTCATCTGTAAGATTTTCAGATAAAATTTAGCACTCACTTATTTCTTTGTCCATGTGCCTGAGCATGATACATGAATGCCAACAATAGCCTCATGTTTGTTATAACCTTTTTTATTTTTTTGTTTGTTTGTTTATCTCTCTTAAATCAGGCAGAATGCTTTAAATATTTGTAGACTGCTACAGATCTTTCCAGGCAAGTATCCTACAAATTGGAAAAATGAAGTACCAAACTGAATAGTAACTCTTAATTGGCAATTCTCATTTATGATTCTGCTTGATTCGGCTATTTGCTGACATGAAAATGTCTCGCACATAATGTACTTTACTATGATCTCCTCAACCCTTTTCTGAACTAGTGCCCTTCAAATGTGTTGGAGATGACAATTATAATTAAAATATATTGTATCAGGTGGCTTTAGCATTCTTAAGCTTCATTTAGAGGCCCTTTCTCCCTCTTCTATTCAAGAACTTTTTAACTGAGATGAAACCAACCTAGATTTTTGCATCTTGTATATGCAAAGCACATGCTCTGCCTCTGAATTATAACTATTCCCAATAATCTTATACAGCTTAATTTGCGATTGCCATATATGAATGTATAAGGCAGTGTGAAACTATAGTATGAAATTTGCAAATATTTCTCCGATCATCATATCCAAGCAGGCAGCCATACTATAAATAAAATAAAAGTACAGGTAGCCCTCGACTTACAACAGTTCATTTAGTGACAGTTTGAAATTACAACGGCACTGAAAAAGTGATTTATGATACATTTTTCACACAACCATTGCAGCATCTCCATGGTCATATGATCAAACTTCAGATGCTTGGCAAATTGAGTCATATTTATGAAGATTGCAGTGTCCTGGGGTCATGTGGATCACATTTTGCAACCTTCTGATAAGTAAAATTAACGGGGAAGCCGAATTCACTTAACTGTGTCAGTAACTTAACAACTGCAGTGATTCATTTAACAGCTGCGTCAAGAAAGGTTGTAAAATGGGGCAAAATTCACTTAACAACTGTCTCACTTAGCAACATAAATTTTCGGTGAATTGTGGTCGTAAGTCAAGGACTATCTGTATATGCTTTTGATACTTAAGGAACAGCAAAACCTTAGAACATTTTGGACTGAAAGACATAGAAATATTAAGAGCTGTACTATTAAGTGAGCAAGAAGAAAGCAATTCTGGTGAGATAGCCCAACTGAATAGCCTGAAACTCTGTAGTATTAAGTCTATATATTTCCACCCATGTAGTTCCAGATCAGCAAGAGCTAATGAAAGGTTTAACCAGTCCACAATGTGAAACATACAGCATTACTAAAAATTAAATGTCAACCTGCTGAGAAGCACCACGTTTAAAGTAGACATTCATTTATTTCTGCCACACTGGTTTATATAGTAAATTTGGCTCCAACACTCTACAGCTTGTGTTGAAGTAATGAGTTAGGAATGCAATTCTGAAATATGCTTCATTTAACCTTAGCTAATAAACCAGCCCAGGAAGATTTCTAGAAAAAACTTTCAGAAGTATTTTTTTTTTTTTAAGAATGATCTATATTTGATATGCCTTCCTGTGATACTCTGCCAAAACAGGGCTTTCCATTAACTCCCTTGATAATAAATTTAAGAAATTCAAAAGCTGTTAGGAAGTGTTAACAGATGCATTTTTAACCAATGCAGTACTCTTTAGAGGGATGAGAAATGAAACTTCGCTTTGGTTTGATTACTATCTATCCTTTTTAAGCTCCTAAATAAAAGCAGCATGAACACTGGAATCCTGCTCTTCATAAGGGCCTCTTGGAAATATAGTCCCAGTATTACAACTGAGTGGGATGAATATTCACATTTAATAGAGGTGCAGCTCACGAATATAGCCAGAAAACCTGAGGGCTTTTTCTGACCACCTGCCAAAGGAAACCAGGTTTTTAGATTCTTAATCTATTAAGAAATATTTGGCCGAAAAATAAGATAACAGCTGGCAAGATTTCAGATTATCATCTTTAAAATCACATTAAAAGTAATTCAGCTGAAGATGTAGGCTGCAAAGTCCAAGAGAGTTTTATTTGCTTTTGATGAAGTAAACTTTGTGGTTTAATATAATTTATAGTCCTGGTTGTCCCTTTAATTTCACTGCAGTCAATCTGGCAGCAACAATGTAAATGCTTCTACAACAGAATGAATATAGAAAGACTGGTATTAGCATTTTAGATAATAATGATTTTCTTTAAGTGTTTAAGAATAGGGAAAAAAGTGTCTGGTAAATCTAAACATAAAGCCAGTTTGGTCTAGTGGTTAAGGCACCATGCTAGAAACCAGGAAACCAGGAATTCTAGTCAACTGGGTGAGCTTGGGCCTGACGCTATTTCTCCGTCCAATTCACCTCATAGGGTTATTGTTGTGGGGAAAATAGAAGGAGGAAGGTGATTGGATATATTTGCTACCTTCAGTTATTCGTAAAAATAATAAAGATAGGATAAAAATAAGGGTAAAGGTTTCCCCTGTCCAATCATGTCCGACTCTAGGTTGTTTCCGTTTCATAGCTGAGGGACCCAGTATTGTCCAAAGACATTTTCTATAGTCATGTGGCCAGTATGACTATATGCTAAGGATCACGGAGCACTGTTACCTTCCCACCAAAGTGGTACCTATTTATCTACTCCCATTTGCATGCTTTTGAACTGCTAGGTGGACAGGAGTTGGGGCAGGTAACAGGAGCTTACCCCATCACATGGTGCTAAGGTGTCGAACCTGTCCTCATCTATTCTCTGCCTGCCAAACCCCAGATGATTGGGAGGAAATGGGGATTTTGTAGTAACCTTCCCCTAGAGTGGAGAGGGAATGGAGATTTTACAGTATCCTTCCCCTGCCATGCCAACCAAGCCATGCCCACAGAACCGGTAGTAAAAAAATTTGAATCCCACCACTGATTGGGTGAGTGTATGTAGGACAAAGGCAGAGAGAATGAATATGTGTTATACTGGGGAATTATTATTATTATTATAGAAGTCAATATTGTAAGCAGTGTTAAGCACAGAAAATTCTGTATTTTAAAATTTTTCATAGTGAAGCAGTAATTTCTGTGAAAAAAGAATTGTTTTGTCATAAATAAATGAAAATAACTAATTCAAATTTCAGTATTGCAGAACTAAATTGAAATCTGAATTATATAAATTCATTTAACATCTTCTGAATATTCGGTTATAATTTGAACATTCAGAAATTCATTTCAGTATAAATTATGCTTTTGTAGGACTGAATAGATTATAAAATACTGTGAGATGCTAATATTTTGATTGATGGATTTGCTTTCTGTTGAAAAATCAAATTTAGATTTAGACTTTGTTCTTTTAATAAAATTTTAGTTTTGGAAAACTGTTTAAAAGACATAGAAACCCTCACCTGTTGCAGTATATGTCTTTCTCTTAGAGTCATTAACCTTCTGTGAAGCTCAACTAATTCATCAAGATATGCCTGAAAATAAACAATTACAGATTAAAACAAAAAAGACAAAATTTGCCAGTTTGTGAAACCTCCTAGTTTTGCTCAAAATATTTTCAATTTTATATGATTTCACCAACATAACAATAATAAACAATGTACACATGTAGTAATACAAAATGCTAAAGGAATAATAAAGAAATATTTTACGAAGTCACATATCATTTACATATAAATGCACGTACAAATTTACATTTTTATGTAGATGTTGATTTCAATTAGATTTTCTGGCTAAATTTAGATTCTAATGTATAGAAGCATGATTTAAACATTTTTTTTTCTATTTACCTTATCACAATCACCATTCTTAATCTGTTTTTCAGATTTACTTTGTTTTATAGGACTCTTTACTTCCAGAATCTACAAAATGAAAAGAATAAATATTTAAGGACATTACAAATTTAAAACTGAAATGTTTTAAACTATGGTGGTCAGACGCCTTTATTCTGTAAGCAGATTTAAAGCCAATTTATATATCCTATCTATATCTCATGTTATATACCTTAAGACAGTGGTGGGATTCAGCCAGTTCGCACCACTTCGGGAGAACCGGTTGTTAACTTTCTGAGCTGTTTGGCAAAGTGGTTGTTGGTAGAAATCATTAGGGCAGAGAACCGGTTGTTAAATTACTTGAATCCCACCACTGCCTTAAGAGCAGTTTCAACCAAAAATTAAAGCAACTAACTAATTATAAATAAATTTGAACATCGAAAAAGACTTTGGAATTATCAACTAAATTAACACCAGTGGAAGAACTTTCAGTAATGATTCAGTAATATACTGTGTCTAATCTAGTATCAACTCTTCAATTTATTTATAGTTAAATGTGCCATATTTTTAGACAGTAGCTTTAAAACCAGGTCATGGCACTTGAATTTTGTTTCTAAACTTCTACAACACTAGAATTATATCCATATGTTGAAGTCTCTGTTTTGCACAGTTCTTCTACAAGCAGGGACATACCATTTCCAGAAGAGTTTCATGAGCATTGATCTACTTGAGCATTGATCTAGAAGTATTCATTTTTCTACTCAAGTAAAATCAATAACTTTAACATAGTGCTTAATAAGCGTGAAGAATACAGTCTTTTGAAATAGTCAGACGACAACAAATCTAACAGGAAATAACAACAGATTGTTGTTGACTGAATTGATTCATGTATATATATATGACATTACTTGAAACAGTGTCATTTGCTGACTTTTGGTTATTTTAAAAAGTAATAATTTGAGCTAATTTTCTATGAAATTTAGAAGTATGACTGATTTGTAATAATTGAATCACAGATGATTTTACACAGATGTGTTTACTCTAAGAACAGATAGGCCTTGATTTACAACAATTCATTTAGCAACTGTTTGAAGTTACAACAGTCCTGAAAAAAGTGATTTAAAACTAAAACTTGCACTTACAACCACCTATAGCCGTGATGGCGAACCTATGGCATGTGTGCCACAGGTGGCAAGTGGAGCCATATTGGTGGGCACGCGAGCGTTGCCCTACCTCAGCTGCAGCGTGCATGCGTGCGCTGGCCAGCTTATTTTCAGGCCTTCTGGGCCCACTGGAGGTCAGGAAACAGGCTGTTTCCGGCCTCTGGAGGGCCTCTGAGGGGGTGGGGAAGGCCGTTTTCACCCTCCCCAGGCTCCTAGAAAGCCTCTGGAGCCTGGGGAAAGCAAAAAACGGCCTACTGGGCTCATCGTGTCATCGCGTGCCAAAAGCGGGGGGAGGGTGTTTATGGGTATGGGTATGTGCACGTGTGACCCTCCCCCACTCCCACGCTTTTGGCACGCGATGGCAAAAAGGTTAGCCATCACTGTCCTATAGCATCCCCATAGTCACTGATCAAAATTTGGGTGCTTGGCAACCAATATGTATTTATGACAGTTACAGTGTCCCAGGATCATGTGAACACCATCTGTGACCTTTCCATCTGACTTTCTGACAGCAAAGTCAATAGGGGAAGCCAGATTTGTCTAATAAATGCACAATTTACTTAACAACTGCAGGGATTCGCTTAACAATTGTGGCAAAAATGATCGTAAAATTGGATGCCCTTCACTTATAGGGGAGATAAATATTATGCACCTCAAAATAAAACATAAATGCATCTTTACACGTATCTTTGGAAGGATTTTCCCCCCAGAAAATATTTTAGGCTTTAACAGCACTAAGCAAATTCAGTAAAATCTGCACAAAATGAAAAGATTCAGGACAAATTAACACTAGTCACTTATAAAACTAAAGAAGGCTCAAATAGTTGGAAAAATAAAAATGTTTACTGTAAAAATTTGGCATGTGCTCATACCAAAACAGAATACCTGGTTATTGTTGGTTTTTAATAAAGGTGGAGGATCGTGGTGTAGAGGTGAAGATGCAGAACTGCTATCACTGTCACTTCCATCACTTAAACTAACCCTGAGCAAAAATAAAAGTGGCAGAGGAATGAAAAGGTAAGAAGCAGGTAGATTTTGTTCAATACACAAATGAAAAATTCAAGTGTTTCTAATTTAATACAGATTATGAACACCCTATATTATATTTTTAAGATCACTACATCTTATCTGGTGTGGCTAGAGTTTTACATTACTGACAGCATATTAAGACAGCAGTCCGCAACTTTTCCAGCTTAGTGGCCCGGAGAAAGAGGAACCGGGCTGCATGAGTAGTGGGTTGGTGCGCACACACGTGCGCACACCTCAACTTGTGCAAATTGACCTGCAACATGTGTGCTGGCCTACCACTTGTGCAAGTTAAGCGACATGCATGCACGTGCCAGTCACATGGCCTGGTTCCAAATAGGCCACGGCCCATATGGGAGACCCCTGTATTAAGATACCAGATGTAAGAATCAACTTAAAGGAATTAAATTTAATCATTAGCTTTCCATTGCTATGTCAGCAAATCAAGAATTTTCTTATGTTTGAGGATACAGCTTGAATGTAAAAAAAAATCCTGACCAGTACAAGCTTCAAAGTATTAATTCGCCCATGCTTAATAATTCAAATCTGTTAGCCTGTTAAGATATACTATATATTCTGATATGGCAATTTTAATTACATAAATTATACCAAAGTGATATATATTTCACTTTATGGGTAAGATACACATTGAAACTCTTGATTCAAGAGACAGGGATTTGTTCTCTCCAAATATGCATTAAAGCACCTACATCATCTCAGCCATTTTTGTCATTTATGCAACAGTAACAATATCAAATTATAGAATTTGTCATTACCACAAAATTGACACAAATCACTTAATTTGCCTAATTTGCGTAATGCTGCTGTTACATAAATTGCTGAAAATAAAATAAATTCAACTTCTGGCTGGAGGATTTTTTGGGAGGCATCTTATATGGATTGCTTTGGACGCTATGGATATGTCTACCACCAATTTGCATTGACCATTAATAGTTTAGATTCTTGTAGAGAGTGGAAGCTTGCAATAAACTTTTATACTCATTTGAACTGTCTGGATTCCTTATTTCCTGTGCTTGATGGGGTATTTTGCAGAAGGTAAGGGTGGTGGGAATAGTACATTATCCATAGCATTATAAAAAAAAAATGAATGATGAGTTTGGGGAAACAGGGCCTTATTCTGAAACTAAGAAAAATGCAGACTCATTCCTTGTAGTATGAACTGTAACTTTTAAGTCAGTGGTCCCCAACCTTTCCGGCTTTGCGGACTGGCAGTGATGGTGGGGAGAAGGAGGGATGGTTCTGTGAGTGCAGCAGGCAAGTGCAGCTTCATTTGCGCAAATGGCAGGCAGGCACTTGCCCACCGCTTGTGCAAATGGGACTTCGTGTGTGAGCATGAGCACCTGCCATTTGCACAAGTAGAGCTGCATGTGCTCGCACTAGCTCACTTGTGTGGCCCAGTTCTAAATGGGCTGTAGCTCAGCAGTGGGCTACAGTTCAGATGTTGGGGACCCCTGACTTATAAAACAAACAAATAAATATTGTTTTATCATGGAGAGACAATGGTGGAAGAAGTTTATTGGAGGAAGCTCAAAAATAATATTTTCAAACCAGGGAAATATGAAAATAGGAAGTGCAGTTTAACATGCCTATGTGAAGCAAACTGGGGCAAAAAAATATTAATTTCACAGATCTCAGTCCATTTATGTCCTGATGTTTAACCCCTGCTTTGGCAGGAATCAAAATTAAAACCTCCTTGAAAAATATGTACCAATTCAAGCAGTTCCCACTGCTGCCCTAGATAATTTCTTTCATGGTCAAACCATTTTATTGGTTAGGAAGTCACCATCTACTCCAGGGCTGTCAAACTCCCAGCCCACGGGCCGGATGCATCACATGCTGGCCACACCCACTCCCGGTTTAGCGAAGGGGGGAAAAGTCCCAATACGTCAAATGACATCACCATAACGACTTGAGTTTGTCACCCCTGATCTACTCACTCCTTCAAATAAGTCTATTTTCCATACCTCAAGACCATTGTTACATGTCTTGTGACCCTCGGATGACAGAAAATTGATCATAGCCTTCTAATATGACATCATATACCCTGTTTCCCCCAAAATAAGACATCCCCTGATAATAAGCCCAATCGGGCTTTTGAGCGCATGGTGATAAGGCCAAGCGTTTATTTCAGGGTTCAAAAAAATATAAAGACAGAGTCTTATTTTCAGGGAAAAACGGTATTTGAACATAACAATGTTGCCCTTTAGTTGTTTTTTCTGAAAGCTAAAACTTCCTTCAGTCTCTCCATATAGGACTTAATTCGCAGTCCCCCTGTTGATCCTCACTGTCCTTTCTTTACATCAGTCTCAATTTCTCTGAATTGTACTGAAATTACAGAACAGAGAACTGAATATAGTAATGAAGTGGAGAACAGAATGGAACTATCACATCTCATGAAGTGTAAATTACATTTCAGTTAATGCAGTTCAAAACCATGTTTGCCTTTTTTTTTTTTTTGGCAGACACATTATACTTAGTGTTTAAGTATAGCTTCAAAGTTTTCCACAAGTACTTTTACAAAACCAGATGTTCCCAGCCTATAACTGATAATTTAATGTCCTTTCTTTCCTAAGATAAAAACTTCCAATTAGCCTTTGTTAAAGTTCAGCTATGTTCAACTCATTTCCCTGATTTCTGAAATTCGCCGTATATGGCCTAAAGAATTAAAAGCACAATATACATGAGAGTGAGAGTGTGTGTGTGTGAGTGAGAGAGAGAGAGAGAGAGAGGGAGGGAGGGAGGGAAGGAGGGAGGGAGATTGACTATATACTAGAGTGCAGGAGATCTTACTCTTCTTTCTTGGCATGCTGAGCTTTTAAAACAACTTCCCAGATTCTTTCTTAAAATGTTTAAAATTTCCTTAAATCCCTGCGTATTTTCTTTTCTAGCATGCAGTGTTTTAATGAATCTAATAAATATTTCTACCTTATCTCAAAATCTAAAAAAATCTCTTTACTATCTTTGGCTTGTCTTAGGCTGTCAAATTATCTGGAATTTATTTTTCTAATTCCTAACCTGCGCACTCTACTTCCTCCGTGAGTATTTATAGGTCTTTCCATCTCAGAGTCATTGTCATTCTCATCTGCTTCATCAGATTCATCTTCATTATCATCAGAATGCAGATCTTTCATTATAGACCTCAAAGGACCTAGTGAATAAAAACAAAAAGGAACACAGTTCAACAATAGGAATTCACATGAAGCCTATTTATGGTTAGCTTTATAATAAAACAAGTCCTAACAAAATTTTTAAGAAAGGAGAAAGGAGGATCTGATCATTAAACAAAAGATGCACTGCTTGGGGGAGCTTATGAAGCAAATGCTTAAACAAAAGTAAATTTATTCAAGGACCAGTTGACTTAAAACAGGATTATTTCTGTCAACAAGGAGATTAGTGTTTTAAGTGTTTGCAGAATAAGCCCCTTGGAATGTTAAGTAAAGCAACTTGGCATTCTACAGAACCAAATGGATCTTTAAAACAAAACAAAGCAAAATAAGATGCTATAAAAGACCCTTAAAGGTATGTTATACTGGAAAAATCTAAAGAGGCCACAGTAACAGTACATTTTGCTAGACTAATCCGTGTATTGAAAGTCATAGTCTAATAAATCACTGTGATTACAAGTTGCTCTAGCCAAGGCATTCTTTGTCTGCCTGTTTTTGATCTACTTAGAATATAGCTGTCTTCTTTAGTTTAAGGTCAATATCAGGTCAAGCCAGCTTTTTGCATGCTCATATGTATAAAGTGTGTCAATTCCAATAGAAGAGACCTATTTTTATCCAAGAATTGGATAGAGATCCTACGCCTCCTACACTAATAAAGTTGTATAAAATAAAAGTTCTACAATTAGATACTTAAAATGTGAACGTATTTTAATAACATTAAAGGCATTTACATAGAAGCATTAGTTTCCAGAAGGAAATAAAAATATTTAATCTGCTCAGAGGTTGGGAAGCAAGAAGAAAAAAAACCTTTGAGCTAATTTTTGAGCTAAAGCTCTAAAAATAATTCTGCCACTAAAAAACAGAACAGCTTTACAGAATAGTTTAATCCTTAACATCATTATTAGTGATATTGTTAATTACAATTTGATATGCTGCTCTATGCCAAAATAAAGATTGGCTGTTGTTAAATTACTAGTTGTTTTATTAATTAATTCAGAAAGGCAAAAGACCTACAGTATGTGGTCTGAAGAGAAACGGGTTAATTAATTTATATCCTGCCTTTCCATATGTTCAAGATAGCTAAAATAAAGAAGCAAAAAGACAAATTTTAAATATATAAAATAATCACAGTCAGGGTTTTTGTTAAAATATAGAAACATGATAAATGCCAGTTATGTGTGTCCACGGTATTAAACAGGAATTATAATCCAAATTAAGGCTGTAGTTATTCATTAAGAAAGTATTAAAAACTGCATGCTACCCTCCAAAACTAGATTTTTAAAAATGTGGCTTATAAAAGCTGGATAAAGAACTTGTTTCTGGTAATCCAAATTAGGCCATGTTTTAATGGACTTGCATCATAGTCATTAACCAATTTTATACTTTGCAATAAACCATAGTTCTTTGTGTTTATTTAGCAGAGTGTGTCAATCCAGCCACTGTGGCTAAACCACAAAAAGTTGTTTAATAAATAATGATTAAAACAAATGGTGGCTTAATGTAATATATGAATGGAGCAAGAGTTTTCAAAAGTAACAGTACTAACAGCTTAACTTAATCTTGATTTCATTCATTTCCAAGGGTGTCTCTGCTTAAAAGAAAAATAGGTTGTTTTATTTTGTCTCCATGTGGTTGTTTCTTCTATAAATTGGCAGTGAATGTACTTAATATCTTCCTCCTTCTATTTTCCTCATAATAACGATCCTCTGCCAACTCAACCCTTTTTAAATTGCTTGTTGTTTATACCAGAATAAATAGGAAGTAGAGTAAAAGACAGAGAATTAGAGAAGTATCAAGATTTGAAAAATTGAAAGATTATGGCATAAAAAAGTGCGTTGAAAAAATTTCCATCTATCAATTAGAAAAGGTCACACTGCTTGGATCCATACATATATTCTGCTGATACATTATGGCATCATAGATTCTCGGGAAGAAGTTGATACACGTGACAGCTAACGACAGCTAAAAAACTGGCTTCATATTGTTGTGTACATAATACTACAATCATTTGTTATACTGTCATGGAAGTTACATATATTTTTAATATTCCCTGAAAAGCAGTAATCAGTTGGCAAAGGAAGACTTTTCATATAATCATTGCAGGAAAAAAATGTCTGAAGAAATTTAGAAATATCAACTGATGAAAGAGCTGAAAAAAAGCATTTTTACTTAATTTTTTTTTTTGAATGACACAATGGGAACACTTTCAACTATTTAAATATAAACTACAGTATGCTTTTGCATATCTAAATATGAAAAAATATGTTTTTGCATCCAGCATCTAAATCCTAACTTACTGAGAAGTCAAAATTCAAAAAAGGTTAAAAAATCTATTTGCTCCCTTTTGTAAAAAAGAGTTTTTTTAAAAAAATTACAAGTTCTAGGTTCTTAGGTTTATTCATTTCTGCAAAATTTAAGACTGATAGACTTTGGAAGGACTACTTTTTAAAATGAAATGTATCATGCAAAATACATCTTAATTCCAATTGTACCACTGCTCCGTGAGCTGCACTGGCTGCCGGTTTGCTTCCAGGTGCAATTCAAGGTGTTGGTTATTACCTTTAAACAGAGGTGGGTTTCAGCAGGTTCTGACTAGTTCTGGAGACCGGTAGCGGAAATTTTGAGTAGTTTGGAGAACCGGTAGTAAAAATTCTGACTGGCCCCACCCTCATCTATTTTCTGCCTCCCAAGTCCCAGCTGATTGGGAGGAAATGGGGATTTTGCAGTAACCTTCCCCTGGATTGGGGAGGGAATGGAGATTTTACAGTATCCTTCCCCTGCCATGCCCACCAAGCCACACTCACCAAGCCATGCCATGCCATGCCATGCCCACCAAACCACACCCACAGAACCGGTAGTAAATTTTTTTGAAACCCACCATGCCTTTAAAGCCCTGCATGGCATGGGTCCAGGTTACTTGAGGAACTGCCTCACCCCAATGGACTGCCCCCCCCCCACCAGCACCAGCAGAGGAGGCATCCTGCGGGCCCTGTCAATCAAGGAGTTTTGGCTGCCAGGGTCCAGGAGAAGGCCTTCTATTCTGTGGTTCTTGCCTTTTGGAACATCTTATCCCCTGAGGTGAGATCGGCTCCCACCTTTCTGACCTTCCCCAAGGGCTTGGAGAGCAGATGGCCTGGGGCCCCAAACAGGGGAGTATCACACTAGAGGTGGTTGATAAATTAACAGGCAATCCCACCTCCCACCCCTGCTCCCTCTTTCCCCATCATTTAATATAATTTTATTTTTGATTGTAATTCTATTTTTATCGTTTTAGAAATATTTATCTTTCATAGTTTTAATGCTTTTAATGCTGTAAGCCACCCAAAGTCACTTTGAAACGAGATGGACCGCAAATAAACCAAATAAATAAATAAATAAAGTACTTTTTAATTTCAAAAAGTCATGCGTTTATGCAGCCAAGCTGCCGCCATCTTCTATTGGGACATAGCCTGATTAGTTATCCAAAGTAACTAGAAATACAGTTGTTTGATTTCTGAAGAAAGGTATGACGCTGAGTAAAATTTAACTACTTCGGACGTTAACAAGTAAAACTTAATGATCTAGGAATTGCCGCAGCGCAATGATGCTAGGATCAGCCTAGGAGTGGGGAGAACGGAATTCAAATCCCTACTGAGCTATCAAGCTCTTGCAAGTAGTCCTGGACTTACGATCACAAATGGGATCAGAATTTCTGTTGCTAAGCCAGGCGGTTAAGTGAGGTGTGCTTGATTTTACAACCTTTTTTTGTTAAGCGAATTACTGCAGTTGACAAGTGAATCACATAATCATTATGTGAATCCAGCTTTCGCCTCACAGACTTAGCTCATCAGAAGCTGGCTGGGAAAATTGCAAATGATGAGCCTATGACCCCAGATGTTACAACTGTTGTAACTACGTAGCCGTTGCTGAGCCCTCAAATTTTGATCATGTGACCATGAGGATGCCACGATAGTCCTCTAAGTGCAAGAGTTGGTCGTAAGTCACTTTTTCCACTGTTGTTGTAACTTTGAATGGTGACTAATGAATGGCTCTAAGTCAAGGACTACCTATATTATGATTCATTATCAGTTCATTTATCCATTTTGCATGGATAAAATGAGAGGATAAAGGTTCTTAGAGCTATCCCTAATAGGATGACAATCCATCTTTAAAAATAAAAATAAATCCATCTTTAAAAATAAATCCATCTTTAAAAATAAAAATAAAAATGCCATCCTTTTTGCTGCATGCCCAAGCACTTGACCCCCCAACAACTCTTTATTTTTTTAATGTTACCTTGCTGTCGGCTGTTCTGTGACGGTGTGAAACTGGAGCTAGAGCTGGAACTTGAACTTGCGGGGCTGGGTTGCTCGGACTTGGAAAGGAGGGAATGTGGCAGAGTCAAGAGAAAATAAAAAAACACAAAATTAGTTCATCTGCTTGCTCAACAAAACAAACAGAAACAAAATACAAAGATACAGTAAATGGTCACATTTACTTTGCAATAAATGGAAGGTAGGAAGAACACACTTTCCCGTGATTACACAAAGGGATAAGATATTATCCACTGTGGGCAAGCTTTCTTTTTCATCCCATATACTCTAGTCTAGGTGGAAGACCCATTCATGGTTTTGAAGGCAAAACCCATTCATGGTTTTGAAGGCAAAAGGCATACCATTAAGAGTCAAGACAGAACTATGCAAAGACAAGTTGCAAACTCATTTCATGAATGCCTACATTCATGAAATGTATACAAAGGTATTTCCTATGCAATGGTCCAGCAATAAATTGTGAATAGGTCCAATTTTGGTTTTAACATTTTAATCAAATGATCAGTGAATTTGATTTAGTAAGGCTATACCAGCCTATAAATTGGACCTTCCAGCTACATTTGCTGAAAATCCTCCAGATATCCAGCTAACCTATCTCGATAATACCTAGTGGGAGAAAGCTGTTAAAAATGTAGAATGATTGTAGGCGGAACTATAGAACGAATGAGAAACCATGACACAGGAAAAGGCCTATATTTTCATTAAGCTTGTATATTAAGAACATTATTCCCACAGCTGTCAAACAACTTTATAATAATCTGAAAAGATTGTGCATGAAGATGCTTAACTTAAACAGGATAGAAGTAGGACTCATAACAAGTAATTGCAGCAATTTTTTGTTCCTCAAGAACAATGCTCATGATGCTGTCAGGTTTTCTAAAATACATGGAAGAATTTTAGAAGGAAAAATCTGCAGCACATTTTATGCCAGCCTTGTGATCTTTACTGATTGTGCTAGGGTTAAGGCTCTGTGTGTGTATTTATGGTGGCCTGCTTCTAATCAGGGTAGAAAATAAAGATTGGAGAAGGTAAAGGACCTGACTGACCACAATGAAAATAGCAAACAGATTTAAAACTGTTTCATACCAAGTAGGTGATATGAGGATAATTCTTACATATTGTAGGAATATTTATTGCATTGCATTGTATCGTGGGTATCTATGACAGCATAATAGCACCAAACAATTCTACTGTGTATAATCATATATACCAATCCACCATGCTGTTAATTTTCAGAGTAAACCATATAATGGAAAGTGAGGAAAAGAGAGGTAACAAGTAAAAGAACATAAAGGTAAGAGATAAAAGAAAGAAAATGAGTCTAATTAAACTTTCATTATAGCCTCTATATTTTTCTATGCTTACAAACTATGCTTGCTTTTACCACATTCAAGCACTGTTTTTTGTTCTTTAAAATTCTTCCTTCCCCTCTCCTTCTAAGGATTTCATCAACTTTATCTAGTCCCAAGTTTCTTGATCCTCTTTTTCCTCTCAAACCATTTGTTTCTTTTTCATGTATTTATTTACTTCTTTTCTACTGGTCTTTTTCACTTTCCTTTTCACATCCATTTAGAACTCCTTCATTCTTGAACCTATCTCTTGTTCTACACACATTTCTTAGGCACTCAAAATTGCATTCAACTTATTCCTCAGCAGCCCTTGCTCATCACAATCCATAGCACATATTTGCTCGCAACACCCTGCCTTCCTATGGCCTCTCTTGGTCCTCCCAAAGCCCCCTGAATTACCAAATTACTTCTCTTAACTAACTATTCATGACAGATCAGTTGGTCTGGCATGTGATGGCAGTGCAAAGTGGTAGTGGCAGATCCTTTGGGATCCTTTGGGAAGCTGAGATCCTTTGGGAAGCTGAGAATTTTGATGGCCAGGTGACCAGCGGTGATAGGAGTGGGAGCTGGTTCTTCAGCTGCCACTTAGTCGGCCATGTGGTACATTCCCCACTTAGGCAGCTCTTCTCTCTTTTCTACGTGAACTAAGTTGGGACAGGACTGGCATTGTGCTGGAGATCTCAGGGCAGACATGTTTAATGGCTATCTTGTACGATGGCATGCAGACTGCAAAAATCAGGACCGGCAGAGACTTTTTAATAAGTTGGTGGCAGGTGGTGTATAGGGTATGTTTGGTTGGAGCTGCCTGCTGCCCTCAAGTGAGAAATAAGGGTAGGTTAGTAGAGGTCTCTGCCTCACTAGCTCTCTGGGTATCAGACCCCCTGCTGGCCCATGTGAAAGCGGGGTGGCATATCTGTTTGTGTGTTAGAGTGGAAGAAGGTTTGGGAGTTGGTTATTGTGAGATGGAGGGCCTGCTTGCTCAAAAAACGAATAGAAACAAAATATGAATAAAGTTGGAACCTGGAGATCAATGGATGCAGATGATGGATCTGGTACTTGTTTCCCTTGGACTTAGTATTTATTTATTTATATTTTGTATTTCTAAACCATCCATCTCCCTGAAAGAGGGGCTCTGAGTAGTGTAAAATATAATATGACCGATAAATTTTAAAAAAATGTATAAAAATTAACATAAAAATTAAAAATTAAACTACGGTTAAAATTTTAAATTATAGAATAATGACAATTAAACATCAAAAGGGAAAAAATCCTTAAATGACCATTTAATGTTGAATTATTACAGGTATGTGTGGCTCTCTAGGCACTAGCCAGGCTTATGGTTGCAGGGTCTTCTGTGTCCCCCCCACCCCATGCAAGGCCACAGAGTCAAGTTTTGACTCCTTTGTAAAAGGTCAAGAGATTGAGGCAGTGGTGAAATTCTCCACCAGTCGCCACTGGTTCGCTGCACGTGCATGCATGGTGCACGCCAGACACGTGCTGCACACGTGCATGCAGTTTGTGCCAGGTGCATGTTGCGCGCGCATGCACAATACACACCATACACTGCATGCATGAACATGTGCAGTGCGCACCAAACACGCGCTTTGCATGGAAAAAGGAGCTGTTTGAAGGTAAGTAGAACAGCGAGGGGGGAACAGCTCTGCCGCACAATTTAGATTTGCTAGAAAGCAGGATTTCCTGCTTCCTAGCAAATATAAATCGCCTGGCACAGCTGATCATCGGAAATACCAGTTCAGACCAACCGGTAACTTATTTTTACTACAGGTTCTTCGCTGAACCAGTAGGATTTCACCACTGGATTGAGGGCTTTCCTCATCTCTGGGGTCAGTATTTACTAGCCGGATGCCCTTCCTGACACCTACATGGAGTTTGCAGCAATTAGTCATTGCTCCCAGAGAGAGAAATATTGCTGCTACCTAGCATTGAACTCACAGCCTCCTGATTGTGAGGCAAGAGCTCCACCACTAGGCTACCATGCTGCTCATATAAGTCTAGTAAATAAATGTTACCTAATAGTTATTTTTTTCTCCCAGATCACATCCATTTGTCCAAAATGCATCCCTGGTTCTTCCATTATCGTAAATCACTAGGGCACAATACACACTTATCAGCAATCTATGAATTCCTTTTATACATATATAACTTTTAGATTGGTTCAAAATTGGGAAAGGAGTCCGGCAAGACTGTATACTGTCGCCCTGCCTATTTAACTTATATACAGAGCACATCATGAGAAAGGCAGGGCTAGATGAATCAAAAGTTGGAATTAAGATTGCCGGGAAAAATATCAACAACCTCAGATATGCAGATGATACCACTCTAATGGCAGAAAGTGAAGAGGAACTGAAGAGCCTCTTGATGCAGGTGAAGAAGGAGAGTGCAAAAGTTGGCTTGAAACTCAACATTAAGAAAACTAAGATCATGGCATCCGGCCCTCTCAATTCCTGGCAAATAGATGGGGAAGAAATGGAGGTAGTGACAGATTTTATTTTTCTGGGCTCCAAGATCACCGCAGATGGGGACTGCAGCCAAGAAATTAAAAGACGCTTGCTCCTGGGGAGGAAAGCTATGGCAAATCTAGACAGCATACTAAAAAGCAGAGACATCACCCTGCCAACGAAAGTGCGTATAGTCAAGGCTATGATTTTCCCAGTTGCAATGTATGGCTGTGAAAGTTGGACCATAAGAAAGGCTGAGCGCCAAAAGATTGAGGCCTTTGAACTATAGTGCTGGAGAAGACTCCTGCAAGTCCCTTGGACTGCAAGGTGATCAAACTGGTCAGTCCTAGAGGAGATCAACCCTGACTGCTCTTTAGAAGGCCAGATCCTGAAGATGAAACTCATATACTTTGGCCACCTAATAAGAAGGAAGATCTCACTGGAGAAGAGCCTAATGCTGGGAAAGATTGAGAGCAAAAGAAGAAAGGGACGACAGAGAATGAGGCGGGTCACCGAAGCAGTAGGCGTGAGCTTAAATGGACTCCAGAGGATGGTAGAGGATGGGAAGGCCTGGAGGAATGTTGGACACGACTAGCAACAACAAACTTTTAGATGACATCAATTCATATTTTTGACATCCATTTTAGCTCTTTCAATTACATCTATTCCTTTACTTCCATGTACATATTCTTCATTCCATGAGAACACACCAACTTTACTCATCTGTATACTACTAAAACTTTTGTGTCTTTAACCCGTACACTTGATACACTTCACCATAGAGTAAGTTTTTTTCAATAAAGGTACCTGAACTTAAAAGGGTAACTCACAGAAGTTAGGGGCCCATTACTCCCAAGGAAATGAAATTTGGGGGATTTTCTCTCATTTCAGCACTGCTGCAATCAGCCACAATCACACAATCCTTATTTTCTGTTTAAAAGACGCCACCTCATATGTATTGCTTGAATACGTTACAACTCTCCTCCAGCAATTAAATGAAAATAATGTAATAAATGAGTGATTTTATTTCTGCAGCAAAATGAACTAACGGGCAAGGAATGTTTAACAAAAAAATAAGGTATTTATTATTGGTTCAAAATCAATAAAGAAATAAAACTTGATTCATGGACATGATTTTTCTTTCTTTCACTGGTATGGCCATCAATAGAGTTTCCAAGAAATAGTTTAATCTTGTTGAGGAAAGTGAGGTAGAAAAGGCTGCCAGGCAGTGGTGAA